AAAAACAAAAAATTTTACTTCATGGATCGCTTTTTCAACACCACTAGTGTCAAAATATGGTCTTAAATCATTATAAACAAATGGTTCATGAGCTTTACTATAAGTAAATAAAAAGAAAGAAATATATATTATTGATGATTTAAATGAAAACAAAAAAAAAACTGAACTGTAGTGGTCGACGCATTTTTACTGATTCATTATGAAGATTTTCTCTTAAACGACGTAATTCAGTTTGTACATAATCTTCTTTTCTTTGATCAACAGGATAAAGATTAACTTTATTTTCATCATAATCAAGACGTATATTAGCGTTAAAACTAAATAAAACAATTCAATTAAATAAAATTTTAATTCTTTTTTTTTTTTTGTTTCTTTTTCATACGTATAAGCTTCACTTCCTTTAATAATTTGAAGTTTTTTTAAATGCCAAGTATTATCATTTTTTGTTCCATTATATTCAACTATAAGTCGTCTAATTTTTCCAACATCAGTTGTTCGACATGTAAATTCATCAGTAGCTTTTGATTGAAATGGTTTTTCACCACTTTTTGTTTTTGATAATGGAATTGTAATTATACCAAATTCACCACGAATTTTAAATGTTATTTTTCCATCATATGTTTTTTCGCCTGTAGTAGTTTTTATTTCATAATCAACATCTATAAAAACAAATAATTAAATTGATTTAATATAAAAAATCTTTTATTTGATTTTTTTTTTCTGATTACCATTTCGTTTTTTACTAGCTGGTCTAGCTGATTGAGATCTCTTCATTTTATTTAGAAAAAGTGTTTATACGTTCTTGTGTTCTGTTAGTAAACGTTACTATTGACTCTGTGTTTTTTCTCTTTCTCTTTTTTTTTCTTCATTTTTTTTACGAAAAAGACATCTTCTATTCGCTTGACAACGAACAGTTTTTGTATTTACCTTTCGCTTCAGCATCAATTGATGGGGGTTCTGAACAAAACAAAATTATAAAGTTTTTTATTTTATGTAATTATTGTTATGTTTACCAGAAGGTTTTCGAATAGGTGAAGGTGTTAGTTCAATTTTAATATTTTGTTCAATTGAACGTCCAACATTAAATCTAGAGTGTGAAAGAAAATGTTTAATGAAATAGAATATATTTTATTTTATAGGAATATTTCCTCAAGATCTTCTGACAAAATGAAATATATTATCAATGATATGATATGAAATAAGAAATCATAATAATTATGAGAATGAAAATTATGATCAACAATGTGTTTTAAAGATAATTTCATTTAGTATCGGTTAGATGTTGTTAAGAAGAATCGAAATGGAAGAGGAAATTATTCTTAATGGAAACGGCATCGTAATCTAACGAATGATGCAAAAGTTTTTAGAAAAATGTTGCTTCATTTTTTATCGACTAAAACATATTTTAGAAGAATCAAAAATACCTATTCAGAACTTACTTTGAAAAACTCGTGTCATAACTGTATGTTCCAAACAGTTTTATCATGTTCTGCTTTGGAGGAACGAGCATATCTTTAAATAAAACTAAAATGTAGTGTGTAAAAAATAACTCACAATCGCTGTGATAGAACAAACTGATATTCTAATACTTTTCGAATTTCTTCTATACATTCCATCAGATATCGTTGCTTTTTCTGTCATTAGGTTTTGTCGCCTAATATCCTAAGAACTTGGTAGAAAAAAAGTTCGACATTGCTAAAAAAGATTAGTTTCTTCTACCACAGCAATTGTGACTTGCTTTTTACACACTACATGTTAATGCCAATTAATGATGTGCTCGTTATTCAAAGATAAAACATAATAAAAATTTTTTGAACAGACAGTTAGAAAGGGCTTTCAACGTAAATCCTGAATAGGTAATATTTGATTCTTTTGCAACATGTTTAGTCGATAAAAAATGAAGCAACATTTTTCTTGAAACTTTTGCATCGTCTGTTAGAAGAATGAACAATCAAGCATTTTATAGAAAACTAACGAGGGAACTTTTCCAGATGTTTCCTATCGATTACAACGTGTTTTTTTGCCTATAGGCACTACTTAGTGTTCTAATAAAAAACTTAAAAGGATTTAAATTTTTTTTTAGACTGAATGAAGATATAGAATTTTTAATATGTCTATTTTCAAGAGAACCCAGTAGAACTTCAAGTTGTCACGAGAATTATCTCTTCAAATTTTGTTCTGACACTACTTTCACATCATGATGAAAAAGGGGAAGTCTCGTACTTCACTGAGTGGAGTAGGATGAAGTATTTAGACTACATTGTCAGAGAGACTAAAATAAAATGAATTCAAATTAATGTCTGTGGTACACGTTGATAGCAGACTTAAAATAGCTGAGAAGCTCTGGAGGATAGCTTTGACATATTCTTCGATGACGGTCGAGTACAGAGTTTTTGATGTTGCTTCTTTGTCTCAAGCACACAAGTTTGTATAAAGAACTTTCAGCATTTTTAGACTATATTTCTGACGTATTATGAGCTTGTAAAAAACTAGCTGCTCCTTCAAGAAAATGATAAAGTACAAAAATATCTTGAAAAGTTCCTTTGTTGAAGATACAAACTCTAAAAAGTTCTGAAACGCTTTGTAAAAACTATTAGTTGTGAAACATTTAAGTGAAAGTAGTTTTAGGACACAATTCAAAAAGACAATTTTCCAAAAACTTCTATTAATTTATGATTAATATCAATTCGTTTTTAATATACTCGTTTTTTCCATGATAGATGAAAATTCTTCATGAATTCATTTCCATTTGAAAAACTCTTTTATTTTTAACACAGCAGATTCTGTACCTCTGTGCAGGAATCTCTTTGTTATAGACATATGTATAAGAATTCTATATCTCCACAATGTCTAAATAAGAATTCAAACGCAATAAGTTCTGATGTTTTCTATTGAATTTAAATTTAATATTAAATAAATCTATCTGATATGAGAAGAGATAGTGAATATTGTTGTTCCTAGATCAAATATATTGAAAATCTTTTATCATTTTCCATTCATCTCTAATAAATATTCCATCATCTTACGTTGTTATTTCATTTCCTCGTTTAATTATTATGTTGTCAATATGCCAAATAGCTTGTTGTTGACTTTCATCTTGTCCAAGAAAAATTTTCAAAATCTATTTTAAATAGAACAAAAAAGAGCAACATAAATAAAGTGATTATCGATGATATTATAACTAACTTTTCCAACATCGTTTGTTTTTAATTCTATTTCACCTTTTTTATTCGGTAATAATGGTATTTTTTTTGTTTGACCATTTTCTCCAACTATAATCATATATAAATTACTTCCATCATCAATTGAAGTTTTTTGAAGTGAACCAAATCGTAGCAAAACTTTATATACCGTTTCTTCAATCAGAATGAAGTGATTGCCTTATCAAGAACATGGAATTAACATACCTTTTACTTTTATTACGCTCTTTGGTATGGTACTTTCTGGAGTTTCTTTTTGGATAGGTTCAGAACGTCTTGGTTGCACTGTAAATATTAAAGATAGATATAAAAAACTATTTGTGTTGTTTTTATACTCCGTGGTATTGGTGTTAGGTCAATATCTAACATGGACAAGTCTAGTATCATATCAGCATAAAATCTATAGAAAATATTGAACTATATCGATGTTTTTAATTCAAAAACTTGTTTATACTTGTAAATTTCTGATCCCTTTTGAATTTGTATGGTTTTGGGATGCCAAACTGGATGAAGACCTTTTCCATCTTGTGCGATATTAATTTTTTTTATCTATTTAGAAAAACAAAATAACCATGAAAGAAGTGTTATAAATATTTCTATTAAAACATACATTTCCGACATCATTTAATTTGATATCAAATTGATCTGTTTTACCCTGTTTGAATAATGATTTTGAATCTTCTTCAGTTGTAATCAATTGAAATCTTTTTGTTTGATCATTTTCACCATAAATTTTCATAAATACACTTGAATCTGTACCTGAATCATTCTCTGAACTTGTAACAATTTTAATTCTATACAGAGTTTGATCTATTTATCAGTCATAATAATAAAACATTGTTAAAAATCATTTCTCAATTCTTATTCGTAATTTTTTTACCTTTGTCAAGTGTTTCTTCTGATAAAAGATCAATAAAATTTTCTTCTTCTTCGCTTAACCATCGATAAGCTTTAAATCTAAATTGAGAAAAAATTTCTTTTCTTTTCGTTTTTTTTATTAGCTTGTAAATTACAAATAATATTCATCATTCTTTTCAATTTCAATTGCTTTAAGAAACCATTTTTGTTCATTACCTTTACCATCATGTCCAATATTAATCTTTTCAATCTAATTAAAACAAAAATTCATATTTCATATATAGAAAATTTTCAATAAATCTACACATACTTTTCCGACATCAATAGCTTTTAAATTAAATTCTAAACGACTGTCTCTATCAAATTTAGCTTGTGTACCATCTTTTATTGTACGTAAAGGTAGATTTTTTGTTGTATCTTTATCACCATAAATACATAATATTACATTAGCATCAATTTGAGAATCACCCGTTTCAATAATTACTTTGTAATTGATATCTATTATATCAAATGAAAGAAAATTTAACATTTTTCCTTTTTTTTTAATCATATACTAATGATAATGAGGTTTTCTATATTACATAAAAAGAACTGTGCCTCTTAAGATCGTGTCTTCTTAATTGCGGACAAAAATCAAAACAATCAGAAGACCGACAGTGTGGGTGAGGGCTGAAATTTTGTCCGCAATCAAGCTGTAGCCCTTAAGATATCAGCTAATCCGATTAATAAAAATAAGATAAAAAAAAGAGAGCTTTTTCTTATTTATCTGGAGCTGTGATATAAAAGCTTATTAGAACAACAAATTACTATCATTATTTGTATCAGGTTTGATTGTTATCCAACTAAAATTAGATCCTAGACGACTTGATAGCCAACATTGTGCTTGAAAACTAAAATCAGAATAAACTTTTTTTCAAATAAATAAATATTTACTTACTGATAAACTATTTCTTTATATTTAATATTGACAGATTCTAATAACCAAGCAGATTTTTGTTCATTATCATCAAATCCAATTGTAATACTTTCAATCTATTTTTATAAAAAAAACAGATAAAAAAACAACTTAATTAAATATAATCTTACATCTCCAATATCTTCATCTTTTATTTCAAATTCATCTAAACTTCCTTGTTGAAAAATTTGTTGTTCGTCTGATTTAATGTGATCTTTTAATAAGATTTTATCAATTTGTCCATTTGATCCATGAATAATCATTTCAATATTTTCTATTGTATCAGTTTGTTGAACATCTGCTGTTTGTATCGTCACCGAATAGATTTCAACTAAAAAATAATAATAAATACTTTTAGTTTAATGAGTTTTTATTTTTGTTGTTAGTACGTGAAGGTATCTCGTCACGATTTAATTCAACAAATAATTGTTGATCATCTTTTGTGCTACTTAACCATTTATTAACAGTAAATCTGAAATAAAACAAAGAACATTTAACTTTTTTCATTTAAAGAAAAATAAAATCGTCAAACGAACTTTTGTTGTTCTGCGCTTGTTTGTACTTTAACATTTTTTAAATGCCAATCATTAACGGTGCCATTACCTTCATGTCCAATTACAATTTTTTGAATCTGAAAACCATAAAAGGAAATTAAATTAGACAAAGAAAATAATTTTTGTAATTCTTTCTTTTTGCTTTATTTTTTTACCTCTCCAACATCATTACTGGAAATATCAAATTTTGCTGTTGAATCTTTCGTAAATGATCCATTTTGTGGTTCTAAGAAAATTTTTGGTGTTCTTGTTGTTGTTCCGTGTATTTGTATATAGACTGGTGAATCTAGAGGTTCAGTTTGTTCACTACTCGTCTGAAGTTCTACATTATATAAAGCAGCTATAATCAAAATGAAACAAAACAAATAAATTTAGAATTTCTTTTCTCTTGTTTTTTGAGTTTAACCTGGTTGTTCAGAACCAAAAAGTTCAACGGATACTTGTCGATCATATTTTGTTGCACTTAACCATCGATTAACAAAAAATCTAAAGAAAATTATTATTTATTTAATGTTGAATTAATTATATATTCACAAAAGAACACCTGATTAAAAACTCATGAACTGATATTTCAACATAATCAATAAACCATTCATTTTGATTATCTTCATGTCGAATAATAATACGTTGTGGTTTACCAATATCAGCACCTTTAACCGAAATTTTTTTTATTGAATCTGCTTGAAATGATTTATCATTAGAAGAATTCGTTAAAAGTAAATCTTCAGTTTGTTTATTATCATGACCAAAAATTTTTATATAGACAGGTCCATTTGTAGTTGAATTTTCATAATTACCTGTTTTTATTGTAATTAAATACTCAATTCCTATGCAAAACAAAATACATTTTTCTCCTATAAAACTATGATATTTAATAGAATATTCAACCAGTATCTAAAGGTTTGATTAATATTGTTTCATTCTCTGGTTTCGGTGATTGTGCTAATTAAAATAATAAAAAAAAATTTACAAACGAAATACTTTTGTTAACATACTAGTTAGTTGTGGATCTTTACCATCTGTTTTTTTACCCGAACAACAAGTCATGACTAATGTAATAAAAGAAACTTCTCTTCTTTTTTTCTTCTCTTGTCTGACGGCTAGATGATTAGATTCTAATGCTCACTCGACTTGCCTTTTCTTTCTATTTCTATTGCGTCGTATCACCTTTATGAGTGATAAGCATTTGTTATTACATTAAAAAAGGCGTCTTTTTCGCTTGTTAGTTTGAAAAGAAATTCTCTTCTTGTTTTTTTTTATGTCAAAGAAAGGCATACGACCGATAACAGAGAGTAATGATTATTTTTTTTTATGATTCCGCTCTACACATACAAGAAAAAGATAATGCTTCCGAGAGTTTTTTTTCTTTAGGTTGATAGGCAACGAAAAAACAAAACACAATAAATTTCCTTTTCAGAATAACTCATTTATTTGTTAATCAAAACTAACAGTAAATTTAATTTAAAGTTTATTCTAATGCGCATCGGAGTTTATCAACAATATTTTCCATTATTAAGAGAGCCATTTATGAGTTTGACTTTATTAGCATCATATCTTATTTTATTTTTAGATGATTTTGCAGTCAGTAACAATAATATTTTAATATAATCGAAGTTTAAATTATCTAATGTTTTTTTTAATATTTCATCAGAATAATGTCTATATATCAGAAAACTGTCATAATGTATGTCGTATTAAATAACATGTTTCCTAAAGCACACTTACCAGAACACATAGTAGAATTATCATGCGCAGCATGTGTTGAAGAAGTCGTTAAATGTAAAATTGAACTTCTTCTTTAATAAATAAAACGAAAAAAATATATATTGACCCGTGATAAATAAACAATAAAGCAAAATTCTAGCGTAATTCTGAACAAGCTTTTGATATATATATATATAATTATAATGCAATAGAAATGAATAAACATATAGTTTAATAATTATTCTTCATTCCTTTTAAGTTTAAAAGCATTCTTAAAATAGTTCAAAAAAACTCTTTTATTTAATAAAACATGAATGTTTAATATCATCCATTACGGTATAATTAAGTGCATGTGATTCTGAGCCTATTATAAAACAATGAAATAACATCTTTGTATTTGTATATATGTTTGAATAGAAGATAAGAAGTAATATGAAATATGAATTAGATTTATAGGACATGACATTTAAATTTAAATTTTGTTTTTGTTGTCATAGTGAGGAAAATACAATGTTAATGGTTATTTTCTATTAAGTAAAATGCGAGTCAATCAATATTCGTGTAAATTTGTTTTCCTCACATTTTTTACATGGTTGGATAGAACGTATCAAGTTATTTAGCAAAAAGTGCCTCGTCAATTTTGAAAAGATTTTTTTTTCAGGAAAACTCCAACTTTAGATTTCATTACATCAAATGTCCATTGTTCATGCATCGATGAATGTAGTGTTTTTATTTTGCTCTGTGCAATTCTGCAAATATATTTTTCAGATTGGTAACAGAAAATTGGCTAGAAGAAAAAGTAATTTTAAAATTGCTTTTTTTCTAATTAATTTCATGTTGCGAAGCTACAAAAAAATATTTGTAACATTGCACAGAATGAAAAACAATGTTACATTCATAGATGTATGAACAATGAACATCTTTTGTAAAGAAATTTAAAATTTGAGATGTTTTGAACATTACCGAGGCACTGCACGAAGGTAACTCATTGCACTATCCAAGCGTGCAAAAAAAAAATTGCAGAAATTTTGAGTTGTGTGCATCTTTTAATTGAATAAAATTGGATAGATGCTGTTATATTATATTAATCTGTTTATAATATCCTATGACAAGCAACATGAAAATACAGACATCATTTGAAACCAAGCAACAAAGATGAGATTTGATTTTGTTGTGTTACTTTAAATATGCTAATTTAAAAATAATACAACTATTATGAATTTACATGTAGACATAGTGTGACGTTAGTCATTTATTTTTCATTAATGCCAATTATTCAAGAACTTGATAATGTGAGAAAAAAATGAACTACTACAAAGTCTTCGTGTGATGTAAAGAGGAAACAGTTAATTTCGTAGCACTGAAATCACTTGATGAGATCATTAGAAATCTTCCAGTCTCATGTAGAATGGTTTGGAAGCATATAAACTCAGTGTAAACTATCAAAATTAGTCACAAGAAATAGTTTTATTTCCAGATCAACATTTTGTGATCAACAGTTTTATCAATCGAAGATATTTTTCTTTTGTAATGGGATATAAGCTTGTAAACAACTACGTGCTTCTGTGATTTCGAGATACTTTATTTTTCGATGCTTCTAAATATAGATTTATATTCAACAATGAAATAGTTGCTTATGCGTATCGAAACAAAATAGAGTTAATGAAGTCAACTGACGGCCAATGGGGTCATTTGGAGCGAGAGAGAAGAAGTTTTAGAAGGTACTAGAATTCATGATGATCCACCAGTAGCTTTTGGATGTTTCTATTATAGTAAATAAAGTGAATAAGTAAATTGGCATTAAATAAATCTTATCGATTTGCTGATTGTTTACAAAACAAGAAGCTTTTTTTTATATCTCAGTTACTTCTTTTTTTTGTATACAGAGTTTAATACTTCCGTTTTCCAACACATCTAACGAGGGAAGTCAGTCAAATTGTAACATACATATTTGTATGTAATTCATCGAGTTAATATCAAATATTACGGTCCTAACGACTCTTAAGTCTTTATGAGTTTTGTGTCCTAACTGGCGAATCCCGTCTGACAGAGGTCTTCTTCATTGCGTTCAGTTTATAATCAGTGTATCATGTATCACAAGCAAAATATCCACATGAGTACTTTTCTATAGAAACGTTAACCTTATCTTTCAAGCATTAACATGAATCATGAAATAGAAAAGATTAAAAAAACTAATTTATCTTAAGTATAGTATATTTGGTCTTTTTCTATTTAACGATGCATTTTAATGCTTGAACAATTAGGTTAAAGTCTTTGAAAAAAAAAAGAACTTCTTTGGACTTTTCTGGTGACATGTGGTAGACTAAGTAGAAATTGAATTTGAAGAAAAAAAGCTTTTGTCAAAAGGGGTCGCTAGTTAGAACGTAGAATATGACAAGATCTTAAAGTTGCTAAGACCCTAATATTAAGAATCAGCTCAATGGACTGCTCACAGTTCTAGGTGAAGGAGGTACGGCGAAAAACGGCCTGATCCATGGAACTCCAGTCGATTCCCGGCGGTCATACTCAAAATCGGTTCCAGTCTCCGTATTCATCGAGTTCTTTACTAAGAATACGTTCATCTATCATGACGAACGGATATAATCTGATCTCTTCGTTTCCACAGCTCAGGCCTTCAGCTTTCTCTTACACTCTTATCTTCCCGACCATTGGCGAATTATCCTCTTTTACTTTTTGATCTGAAAAACAGCATCACTCAAGTGAGCATATTTGATTCTTTTCATGATTATTGTACGCACTTTTATACTACAAAAAAGTCTTCACTTCTCAAAATGTTGCAAATCATCTTTCTGCATCTTTTGATGTCAAGGTGAGCAGTTGTATAAGTCAATATAAATTTCGTCCTAGAAAATAGAGATCTTTATGAGGGTATATTTTTTTGACAAACAAAGGTTGCCTATCACTTTTATGGTTTTTTCGTATGTCGTTGATTTCATGAGTAACGTGATAGATTATTTTTTGTCTAGTTGACAATTCAGAGTCAGGCTAGCGACAGATTCGAAAGGTTTTATTGAAAATCGTGAGGTTTTCTCTGTTTTCCTGCCACTTCGATATTAAAAGTAAAATAATTTGTAGGGATCGTTTTGTGCAGCATAGATATTTGCTCTCATGTGATCATCATTATGTAAGAGTATGATGTTTTCTTCGATGCATTGCATACCGTACGATTCGGCTACATGCGAATGGTTACAAGTGTTTTTCTGACAGATATTTTGTGTCGTTTCACTGAGTTTTCTGTTGGTTTTCAGAGACTTTTCAGTAAGCTCCTGAACGATTTCTCTATGTTTTTTTATGTCGGTGTACTGTAGCTAAATTCATGTTTTCGGTACAGTGGCTTTGCTGTTCGAAATACTTCTTCGAAGTTTATGATTTTCTCTATCAAATTCCTACCGAAATCGGCTGTAGGAGTCAATAAATTTCAGTTGAACAGATAAGGGTGCGAGTGAAAAAAGATCAACACGCACACTCATATCTAGTTCCGTTCATATCTACAGCTGCATCTATCTTCTCTTTCAAATGCCGATTCAATTCAATAAATCAGTTTTAATGGTTTGAGCCGTATTGGAACGTAGTTTGTTTTGTGCACCCAGATAGGCTATTCTTGGCATTTCTAGAACATAAATGAATTAAAAATTCGTCATATAATGATGTCTAGAAATAAATGCTGTTTTAATTCATATTTTTTATCATATATTATTGATAAACGCAACTATTTCATAAATATACAGATCAGTATATAAATAACTTTTGTAATGATAAAAGTCTTAATTACTCAAAACTTAAAATGCGACTAAAATATGTTTCTCTCTGAAATTTCGAATGATTTTGTTTAATCTTTTTGTATTTCTACTTCGATTCAAAATTAGTAATAGAATTACAAGTTATATCATATCTTAAACAACATACAATCATTCAGCTGAATTCGAAAACAATTTGGAAACATGATGTAGCTGATGTTATTAATCACATAGGGGCTGTTTTATTCTCTATCTATTTTGGGACACATTTCTTCATCATACTTCTACTTAATTCTTCTCAAATGCAATAAGGAAGTAGTTCATATATTATAACGAAACCCTATATATTGTCTGTAATCGCATGTCAACAACATCTGTCACAGTCAGTGGTACTCTCTGTCAGAGTTTGTTGGCAGGAGAAAGAGGGAAAGAGTGGTGGGTGCAAATTTTTACTTGTATATACACTTCATCGTTTCTTTTACGTTGTGTTTCATAAAACAATTAAATATTATTTTTAAAGAATGGTTAATACATATGAATTGAACATTACCATTAACTACTAAATGACAATAGTTTCTGCGTGATGCTTCGCATCTCGCCATTTCTGATCGATCAGAAATATCTTCAAATCTTAGCGTTGGCTCAATTGTGAAAATATAAAGATTTCAAACCAAAACAATGTAACATAGTATCAATTGGTAGTTATAGTACGGATATTGTTTCCAGTTTTAATACGATTATATTCTAAACGATAAACTTAATCATACTAATAAAATAATTAATGTTTTAAAAGAATAAAAATATTAAATAAATTCTTGTCAAGTCTTCACTACGTGAATTAATGTGCCTAGTACCTACAGCGTGTCACAAAAGCCATGATCACTTAAGAAATACATATAGTTTTACTACTAAACAAGCTTAATCAAAACAAATTTTTTTAATTTGAAAGAGGAGTTCAGTAAGTTTTTATTTTTCAAAGACCAAGCACATCAATATTATAGAAAAGGTCGTAAATTCAACTACAGAATACAAGTTAGATTTCTCTTCAATGCTAAAAAACTATATACAGTGCTGTTTTCGAATTTTACTCAAATTCCTATCGTAACTATGACTATGAGACCATTTAAATCTTTTGTTATTGCTTTTAAGTTACTTGTTTGATATATTTTAAAAGGATTGGATCACTAGTGCCCCTTTTCCCCATACAGATTGTTCGAAACACCTCAAAAACTTTAATCATTATAAAAACGAATACATTCGGCCATTTTATGACTCGTCTATAATTAAAATTGATCAGTTTCTCTCTTTTCATCAGAATAAATCAGAATTAGTATTTACAAAGTCAGAGTGAAATATTTGAATGACTTCATGGTCATATTAACAATAGAAATTCGAGTAAATTTCGAAAACAGTAGTAAACATAGTTTTCAACATAGAAGAAAAATCAATTTTTTAATGCTGTAGCCAAAGGTGCTACTTCGTGTTTAAAACATAAAAACTTACTAATGTCCTCTTTCAAATCGAAAAAGAATTTCTGAATAAGCTTGTTAAGTGATTATGACTTTTGAGATATCCTGCATAAAAAAAATGAGTAATACTATTATTTATCTTTGCGGTAAAGCGTCATGTGACATTATCATTCCGATTACTAATTCGTAAAAAAGCTGTATCATCCTATCACATGAGTGATATCTTATACCATTAAGTACTTACTATCACGATTATCATGAGGTTTGGTAACTATACACTTTACCTGGCAACAACAACATGCTTATAGTCTGATCAGAGCAAAATAACAACTGACTAATAGGATAAGAACACAGTCAAGGTAAATATATGCAATATAGTGAGACCACCTTCATATAAATAGAGTATTTATACCTTGAGAATCTTTGATAACAACAAAATGATGAAGATATATGCTATATTTTGTATGCTTCTATTGTTGTTGGTAGTTCAAAAAAGTTATGGGATTTCAAGTCCTCTTCAATCATTTACTAGTTATCGATATTCAACTGAACTTCAACGTGATGTAGCTGATCTTTGGTGGACAGTAGATGAAACTAAACAAGAAATTACTTTTGAATTACATATTAAAACAACAGGATGGATCGCTTTGGGTATTAGTCCAGGTATATATTATTTGTTTTTAAATAATTTCTTTTTTCATTTCAAACTTTTCGTTCTTTTGTCACATAAAGCTGGTGGAATGAAAGGTGCCGATATTGGACTTGGATGGGTTGATAAAGCAGGTGACGTTCATTTTCAAGTACATACAAAATTCTCATCTCTTTTTGCTATAACTAAAATGGCCTATTTATTTTTCTATTCATAGGATCGATATGCATATGGTACCTCGCGGCCAGTAGTTGATAACACCACAAGGGATTGGTTTGCATTAAATGGTCGTGAACAAGACGGTTGGACAGCTATTCAATTCAAACGTGCTCTTGATACTTGTGATACAATGGATGTTCCAATTAGAGTTTGTCACTTATCTATTTCATAAAACTATTATAAAACTTCAATATATATTTAGTCTGGTACTAATATTCTTATCTTTGCCTATGGTCTTGATGATCCTGATATGTCTCAATCAGATGGTTTAATTTATTATCATGATAAACGACGAGGTTCACGAATTCTTCCACTTCAATCTTATGGCAATCCACCAGCAGAAGAAAAGTTCGCTGATCTTGACCATTTTGAGTTCCGATTGAAAGACGTTTGTTATTCACTTGAAGATTACATGTTCTTTTCGAGTTATCTGCTAAATTTTCTTGCAGTATGTTGTACCAGCAGATGACACGACTTATCATTGTAAAATCTACAAAGCACCAACCAATTTTTCACAACGAAGACATGCAATTGCAGTATGTATTTCATTTACGTTTAAGTATATTTGAATTACTTTTACAATCGTTTCCCTGTTTTTTTTTAGCATAAAACAATAATTGATCCAAATAATCGAGATCTTGTTCATCATTTATTGTTGTATGAATGTAATCCTACAGCTGTCTTCGATGATAACAATTTACCAGATGGTTTATGTGATGAAATTATGCCAAAAATTGCTGAATGTGCTTCAAATATTGCTAGTGGATGGGCTGTTGGTGGTGATGATGTAAGTTTTCTAAATGAGATTTCTACTTGCAAAAACGATTCTTATTTGTATAGATAGTAGAATTTCCAGAGATTGGTGGATATCCAGTAGGTGGTGGTTTTGAGATAAAATATTACATGGTTCAAATGCATTATGATAATCCAAAGCTAACATCTGGTATAGAATTTTATCAAAGATATTTTAAGGATTCTCATCAATTCTTATTTTATTTAGATCGTCGGGATAATTCAGGCATTCGATTTTATCTGGGAAAAGAACTTCGTCAACACGATCTTGGTTATCTTACTTTTGGCGCAGATTCAAGTTATACCTCTATTGCTATTCCGCCAAGAGCTGATCGATTTATAGTCGATTCGTATTGTCCAGCCAATGCTACAAAAGTAAGTAACGAACGGACCATAAACAATGGTCACGTTTTGTATTTGATTTTTTTCGTCGTCTAATACATTTTATTGAAAAACAACATATACCACAAGATGCAACATAAAAAGCTCGGCAATCTACGATATAAAGTTTATTTAATTTTTGAAATAGATAAACATTTGTACGGCCGATTTTCGACGTGATGAACAAGATCGTTTTTTTGATATACAGCAAATTCCTTTGCTTATTCCATCATTTAATGAATCATTATTTTTTTTGAATTTTATTCGATTGTATATTATGGGCGATAGTGTCCTACAAATAATTATCCGCACCATTGAGATCGAGATTGTTTGGTGGCAATCAATGATTGTTTATAAAAATGCATGGAAATCTCTTTACAGCATGTCAATGATTCCTGATGAGTATGTAACATGGCCATGTCTTGTTGATGGATGAAATCATCACCTAGTAGATCTAGACTTTCATAGCTTGTACTTGTTGAAAAAAACTTCAACATAATTTCCATGCAATAATGTTTCATCAAATTTAGATATAATTGGAGATGTGCGACCATTGATTATGGCATTCAATATGACTCTTTAGTCAAAAAGATAAGAAAAGGAATTTTTTCATGCACCAAAAAACGATCTTGTTCGCAACGTCGAAAATCGGTCATACAGGGTTTTTATCGATTTGGGAACTTAAAGATATATATATATAATAAGTTTTGTATGGTATATTATCAAGCTTTTCACGCCGCATCTTGTGGTATATCTGCTGCTTTTTAATAAAACATATTAGATGATGAAAAAGTCGAAAACAAAACAAGTCCATTCATTATTTCAACCGTTAGAAGTTTGATTTCTATGTAAAAATACATTTATCTATATTATAGTATTTTCCTGAATCGGGAATAACAGTTCTTGTCGCATTTCCACATACGCATTTGCAAGGTAAAGTCAAAATGTTTATCAATGCAAATATATAATTTTCATTAAAAAAAAGGTGTAAGTCTATGGACAAAAATAATTCGAAATGGAACAGTGATTGAATATTTATTTAATGCTGATGCATATAGTTTCAATTATCAATTCGAAAATAAACTACCAACACCAATTCAATTGTTTCCCGTATAATATTTTTTTTCTATTCTATTTTCTTCTTTCAGTATTCTATCATTACATTTGTTGTAGGGCGACGAATTGGCTACTCGATGTGTTTATCGTACATCAAATAAAAGTGATATAACTTTGGTAAGAATACTCGAATGAAAATTAGTTTGTTCTATAAATATGAATATTTAGGGTGGTGAAAGAACAAGAGACGAAATGTGTTTACATATGTTTGTTTATTATCCTCGTATGAGTAATGTATACGGTTGTATAACATTCTTTCCTCCAGAAGTATGGAAAGAAAAAATGAATAGTTCAGAGTAAGTTTATATGCTTCATTTTTCTTGAATTAATTTTTTTTTAAATTAAACATTCTTCTTTAAAGATCATCATTAGACTATGCAACACTTGGAAAATGGTTAAAAGAATTGAAATGGACATCGCAATCAATAACTGAATGGCAGCAATTTTATAATAATGCACCACGTGTCGTTATGGTTGGTCGTGCAGGTCAATTTGACTATATAAATCTAGCTAAAATACCAGAGTATGAAGATTTAAAACCAACAGAATGTAAAAGAGGCGTTCCAAATTCGGCTATTCATCAAAATGCATTTATTCTTTTTACAGTTATTTCATTGTTTACAACAATAATGTGAAGTTATTTTTAAAAAAATAAAAATTGTAAGAATAAAAAATGAAGTTTTTTCAATAAAACTGATATTTCATAAAAAGAGACAAACACTTTAGAATATAACGAGTCCAAAATAAATCAATGAATATCTCTGTCATTTCTTATCATTTAGAACTGACATTTTTTTCCAAAAGATTCAGCATAAAATTATCTATAAAACTATAGGAAAGCGTATATTACAGCGATGAAAGCCAAAGATCTTTTCGACAACTAACAACTTACCATCACAAATTCACTACATAATTTTATATTTCTATTGACTAATAAACATTAGCTAAAATGCTTCAAAGCACTATTCCAGGTACAATGAAATGTAATCCAAGTAATAAATTGATATATGAAGTATAAGATTACTTTAAAAACTAGGGAAAAGAAGTCTCTTCTCTGAACACAACACTCATATTAATCAGGTTCTCTCTTGTTAATTTAACCTAATCAAGAGCAACAAAAAATTTAGACATAACTCACCAAAGCTATCCCACGCTGAATCATCTTAAAAAATGCGCATCAAAAAAATTAAACTTTGCCTCGAATGAGTTGTCAGCTCGCAAACACAAATACATGTAGTACAAAGAATTGTTTTACTCTTATATCTGAATAAACAGCAATGAGAATTTTTCATGAAAGATGTTAGTTGAGAAAATTATTCAGGATAACCATGTAATAGAGCTTTTCAAGCTTTACTATATAGATAATAATGTATCTCTGTATTTCAACACTAGGACACAAAAAAAACTCGAAAACACTCAAGGGCATTGCGCTTATTTAAAAAATTGTTCAAATTCAATGAAATTTAAGCTGACATTAGAAGTAAGCGAGATATATTCAACATGGAATTTTTAGCTTGATAAATCTTATTGAAGAAAAGTTACGATGAAAATATGACTTTATTAAATTGATGCAAAAATAGGAAAAGTTTTATTTAATATGATTCTCAAAAGGTTCACTGTTTTTTTAGGTTTCGTAGTATGAAAAAAATTGTATCATGCGCAGTTGGATAGAGCGTCAAATGCTTTATGTTTTTATTCTTTTCTTACTTTTTTCTGACATTCGTTGCAGTCTTTTAGAAATACGAACACAGTGAAGATCTATATCTTTAGTAACAAAATTTTTACGTTTTCACAAACACGGAATTTCAGTAATACAATCATATCTCCACAACGAAGCATTGTAGTAAGATCATATCGTTACATAAACAATGCTTTAATCTTGAGTACTATCATTGAAAGTTTGAACAGAAACGATTTTGTCCGAAAGGAGATATGTCGATATCGAGATCAAAATGGTGTTGACAATTATTCATTTTTGGGTTGGAAAAACAAACAAAATTCTTTTATCTGAGATCGATATTTATTGAATGGAGATTAGATTTGGACGTTTTTATCGCCATCAATAGATAGACGAGTATATTAAACTACTCTAATAATGAATTTGAACTTTAAATTCTTATAAAAATACTTTATCCTTCATTTATCTTAAGAACTATTATATTTTCAACAGTTCTTCTAGTCGCTTGAAATCTACTTATAGAGTCATTATTCTATTGTCTACTACTTTAGACACAATTTGTATGTCATATCAAGTAAGGAGTTTCACATATTGTAATCACTACTAGATTGTGCCAAACTATATTTACATGTTTGGCATAATTTTTCAAATAATTATATATGTGAGATGTGTCCAGCTCTGTATTTACTAAAGGTTTAAAAAAATAATACATGAAATTGACAACATTATAATATTAGTGACCTTGGTTGTGCTCTTATAGTGTGTGTTGTTACAATAGTGGGTACACAAGTGCCTGCAAGTAATTATGATAAGCAGGAATAGTGAGATCGTGATGCCGAGCCAATGTTAGATACTACACTGCACAAGTAGTATGCCTAGGAAATCCAATACTTTTAGCGTTTGCCCTGAGTTTGTATCATTCTCTTTGGATAATATTGAGTGAATCATTATCATCAATGTAACTATTCTGATTATATATTTGACAACAATAGTAATGTTTGGATGAGTAGGACGTATTTGCAAATGAAAGTCGCCACTGCGTCCAAAATGTTATTGTTCCACATATATATGCGATTGTTTTAGTTGATAATAACTGAAGAAAAGCGTGAGGAGGTCACTCTTTTGTAACTATAGAGATTCGATGGTAGCTATGTGTACACCCATCCATTGGTCACGATTACTGATATCACCGTTATTGACAAGATCTGCCAGTATGTTCTTCGAAGCTGATAGCTCAAACATAGATTGTGATAATATTTGATTTTGATTGAAATCAATAGATGCAAAGGCCGAATGACAACAGCAATTAATCACTGCCGTAATAATGCGCATATAAAATGAGACATTTGGTAGGACACAATTATGAATACACTCGGAGAGAGGTGCCCATTTTTTGACTTTTCTATGGTAAGCTTCAACTATTCATCTGTTTTTTCTGTGATTAGGCGAGAAGCATTGAAATCTACTGTGGATAACTGCCTTTGTTTAGCAGGTAAAAATGCAGACGTTCGAGCTTCAAATTCTGCTTCTTCAAGCGATTTAATACACTCTCGAAAGTCTCTATCCAAAGGAAAGATGTCTCTATATTCTGTTCATCGTTGTAGAGAGTCACTAAGTTGGAGAATATTTTCGGTGATTGATGCATCATTTGTAATTCCTGCCAAGGATTCGATTGTATCAACTATATTTCGTCTAGAAGTACCATAAATAGCACTTTTACTAGATGACATCTCTTGTGCCATGAATAGATTGATCTTTGAAACGTGTGACCTTGACTCTTTTGAATAAAATAATACGTTCCATCAAGAATGAGAGCGACCTTATCTTCAAACAAAGTTTTCGAGTAGAAAATCTGATCGGCTAGTACTTAATTACGGTTCAGGTGGTTTATGTCGAGAAAATTCGGGACAAAATCAACTAGAATGGTATCTTGTACCGATGAGCATGATACAATTGATAAAAAGTCAGGAGACAGACAATCTTGAATAATGTGTTTACTGCACACATGTGTGCCAGGAAGAACATAAAGATCATTGTCAACATGTAGATCAATCCGAGCATTAGTGATCAGTTCGATTACATGAGCCGTCAATGGTACAAGACATATACAACGACGTGTTCAAAAGTGAAATGATTTAAAATATTCATTAATGACGATATTTGACTGATCATCGTCGGAATTAGATGATCGTGATGAATGCATTTCTATTTAATGATCTCGTCCAACAGACTGCTCACATGTACCACACAAAAACAAATGTCTACTGTATGGTTTTCAGACAGATTGAATTTCTGCCGAATTCAAGCGTATGAGTAGCAATGTTCATTAGACGAGTATTCATTTTGTTCTTTTGATGTTTACAATAATAGCAACAAATATTAGGCATGTTTATCGCTATACCACTTATCACTATAGCGTTTCTGTCTCTTATATCTTCGATGTGTTTTTTTTTCTAAAACGTTTATTTTGTTCTGAATTTGCCACAAAATCAAATTTCCCATGAACTCTCGAAACCCGTAATTGTTAATTGAAGTTTACAGAAAATGTTAAATTTTGAATATGATTGAAGAATATTTCAGTAAGTGAATTTCATTATGACGGTTTATTGCTTTGGGTGAAACACTTGCTTTAATCTTGAATTCAGATTTTGTCTGATGATATCTATCAAGTGTTCAATTTATATGACATTCGAGTTCTCGACAATAGAACAAAAGTGCACCCGTGCACTGAAACTGTGCTTGAAACATAAAAGGATTCATGATTCTTTAATTGAAGCGAACATCAATATGGAATATACAAGTTCCTGATGAAGCCATTATCCTAAAAAAATTGAACTCGTTCGTAGCAATTCAAAGTTCTTATTGTTGTATCGCAGAAATATTCTAAAACTAATATCTTCACTTTCAATGAAATAATAATTGGCTGAATGTCTGATTTTAAGCAAAGCAAAACAATGGCACGTTATTCATAATTATTCTAGATATTTATTATTGTCTTCAAGAAGTCAAACAAAATACTTAGGTCTATCCAAAAGTAATGTCACGTCTATCTTATTTCCTTATAAAAGGATCAAAAAAAAATTTTTTTTTATAGAATGATAGAGAAAATGAAGCTCTATTTTTCTATACTATTTCATCACTATTCAACTAGTATTATACCAATAAAATTTCGAGCAGAAATATTTTTGTATCAAACTTAACTAACGGGTGAAGCAGATTCAATGTTTCAATCACTTAATACATCGTATTAAAAAACAAACTATACCACAAGATGCAGCGTGAAAAGCTCTACAATTTACATAAGACCGCTTATTTTATAGTTGCATTTTTTGTTTTCAAAATGAACAAAATTTTGAGTAATCAATTTTCGATCGTACGAAAACGATATTTTTGGTAGAAGATGAATTCATTTTTGCTTATTTCATCTTTTTGTCACCTGATATCTCTTATTTAAAAAAAAACAAAATACATCATAAGATACATCGTGAAAAGCTCTACAATCTACAAAACAAAGCTTATTTTAATTATGTTATTTCTGGTCAAAGAAATCAAAATTCTGTGCGACCAATTTTCACTGCACCGAAAAAATCATGCGAAGAGAAATTCCGTTTCGCTTATTTCATATATAAAATAAACTGTTCTTTATAAATTGTAGAGCTTTTCACGCTGCATCTTGTAATATTTTTTATTTTTTAGTACAACGTATTGAAATATTAAAAACTGAAATGCAAAGCGTATTAATCTGCCTCATCTTTTCGTTAAGTTTTACACAAAAACACTTCTTATCGAATTTTTATTAGTATAATACTAGTTGGATAGTGATGAAATAGTATAGAAAAATAGAGCTTCATTTTCTCTATCATTCTATATAAAAGGAATTTTTTTGACCCTTTTATAAGAAAATAAGATAGACGCAACATTACTTTTGGATAGACCTAAGTATGTTTTACGTGTATC